CGAATATACGTGTAAATTGGTCGTTCGCGCCACAACCTTAGATCTTTTCCAAAATTTCTAGACAACTAGAACAACTAGGCCTGGAATGGTCCTGTGGATTTGCTGAATTGTACCAGCAGGGTTGGGGGCCCTAGGCTAGGGGCAGATTGGCTACATCGACTGGTGAGTTACATGTATAAGGTCATAAAAGTGGCTGTATGTAGTGGGGTGCAAGTTGAATGTCAAATTTGCAATGTGGTGTGCACGTACGTGTACCTCCACCTTTGTTATTGTGCATGTACTGTACATGTACAATATAATATGCATGACCTTGGAAATCCGCAGCATGTACATGTTACATCGTAAATTACATGTAACACGAGCAATACTCTTCGTTGATCATGGAAATTGGTATTTTAATTTAATTTCATTTCATTTCATTTCATTTCATTTCAAGATTCATGTTTGTTTAAATTAATTATCTTGTACTGGCCGGTCTTTTCATGAGCCAAGTGGAGATCTCCAATAAACCAAAATTTGAGAGTGACACAGCAACCCCAACATTTTTCCTCACCGTCTCACTTTCTCTCGTCACCGGGAATTACACTACACTAAGGACACACCGAGCTGTTTTTCTTTTTTCGGCAGCTCCTTGTAGCAACTTAGGCTATCATTCGCTCGCAAAATGCAGTCCAACCAGAGGTCGGATCGCAGGCAAGACCGGAATTCGAAGGCAGAGAAACCGTCGGGAACAGCAGTGGACGGCGGTTGGGCGTGGCTTGTGTGCTTGGGCGCCCACCTGGGTCAAATGGTAACCGTGGGTTATTTCACTTCTCTTGGCGTCCTGTACATCGAGTGGAAGGAGCACTTCGACACCTCGGCAACAGCTAGCAGCTGGCTTCTCAGTCTACCCTGGTTGACTGTTTCAGTACTTAGTGAGTAAAGCAGTCATTATTTGAACCTGGTAATGCTCATGGATCAGTTAATGTCGGGTGTCTAATAGAATCCATTTTGACAAGGATGAATACGATCAATACACGATGAAAGGGTTTTGAATCAATGAGTAATCCTGTTTCCAACAACATGACACTTCAGCATTCCTCTTGCCAGTTTAAATCCTGTTGCACTACCAATTTCACGACCCTGGAGAATTGATGTTAGTCCTGGGACCTTTCCACGTCCTGGTTAAATTTACGGAATCAATACACACCGGATACGGGCGTTTCACAATAGTGCGCCAACAAGAGTTTGCAACGCGTTGGCCAATCACAATGCGCGAAATCTGTCGACCCAGTGGGCGTTTGGAAAGGGTCGGTAGATTTCGCGCATTGTGATTGGCCAACGTGTTGCAAACTCTTGGTGGCACATTATTGTGAATCGGCCGTATTATACGAGCATCAATGAAAAAAAGAAGAATACCATTCTTGATCACATCCTAGGTCTCATCATCGGTGCTCTAGCCCAACGTCTTGGTGTCCGTAGACTGGCCATGGTCGGTGGCGCGTTGATAGGACTTGCTACCATTCTTGGATCGTTCGCCACTGATATATGGCAGCTGTACCTCTGTGGCGTGTTATCAGGTAGGAGGGCATTGGATTTTTCTACGAACAGTTCGTGTTGATTGAAAAGACCGTAGATATGCTGGATATTTCTCTATTTTGCATTTTCCCACTCCGTCCAAATTCCTCTCTTAGCGCTCAATTGTGACATTCAAGCACCGGCTTTTACTCTCCCAAACCGATGTCTCAAATGTGTCTTCTTTGTTCTTGATTTAGGTACAGCAGCGTCGCTGTTATTACCGACAGGTATCATTATGATCACACAGTACTTCAAGAAACGCTACGCCTTGGCCATTGGTCTAAATTTTCTCGGTGGCACCGTGGGCCAGATGGTTTTCCCTCCGTTGATTCGCTTGCTGATCGCTAATTACGGGTGGAGAGGTGCCATGTTTATCCTTGGAGCCATTAAAATGAATTCAGCCGTCGGGAGTGCGCTTTTTCGACCCAAAGTAAAGACTGAGCCTGTCAGTGATTCGCGACGGCAAACCAGCCTTGAGATGGAGGTTATGCAGGGTGGGGAAAGCACAGAATCGGAAAACCGGAATGGTTCTCAGGAAAAATGGGCTTTTCTCAAAGTCTTCACTCGTGTCCCGTTCGTGCTCTGCCTTGCCGCAGTCTTCTTTTATGCCTTGGGGTGGGTGACTCATCTGTCGCATCTCCCATCGCGGGCCAAGGAAGCTGGGTCGACCGAAGACCAAGGCGCCTTACTACTGACGATCTTCGCCGTCGTCTCCATGACCACGAGGACGGCACACGGCTGGTTCGTAGACAAAGGGTACATCGGCAGCTTTCAGCTCCAGTTCGGATGCCTGGCAGGAGCTGCTCTGGCGACTTCCCTTAATCCGGTATCAGACAGTTACGGCTTCCTGGTTAGTTGTGCAGTTCTGCTGGGTGCTTGCCTGGGTATAGCATCTCCTTTAATGAACGTCATCTTGAAGACATTGGTCACTGAAGCAGAGATCCCGTCAGCTATGAGCTGGTTCGTGGCAGTGTTCGCTGTCGCCAATGGAACCGGCTCGGTGGTCGCAGGTAAATATCTGTTTAGAAAATTTGAATCTTAAAAAATTGCATGCCTGTTTTTGTTTCCTACGACTCTGGATCTCGATCGTAGGTCCGAACGCTGGTTCGCACTATCCACCAGTCTGGTTATGGTGTCAGTGAAACGACAAATGACTGATCGAGATTTGGGTCCGTGTGAAACAAGAAGGGTCTTCCTACCAATGTTCCAGGAGGTCTAAAATCAAACAATGTAATGAATGAAATTCAAGATGACAAAACTTGTCTGATAAAAATGATGCATGAAATCGGAGGAAAAGGGAGCCGGTGCACACATGACCATCATGTCAAAACTCCAATATCTTATCATGGTCAAAATTATCATTTATGTCGGGTTGCAGAGTCGGTATGTAGATTGTAACTTTTTTGTTGAGTGCATTTTGGACTTCCACAACAGTAGGAAACCGATTTGATTTTGATTGGAAAGTTGGTCAAGCAAAATGAGAGCTGAGTATTTCTGCTTTTTCTGAAGATGAATAGTTTACTGAATATGTGACGTCCGGTGCTTTTCTTTCGTCCAAGGTAAAATCTATGACATAACTGGAGGGTACACGGTAACCTATCTGACAGGCGGCGGCTTCTTCGTAGCATCACTGTCATTGCTGGTGCTTGTCTCCATCCTCAAGAGACGCAAAAAGCGCAGAGCCAACTACACAAGAAGAACCCGAAATGCAGGGCCGGGCTACAGGCCCAACTACCTCCTCTATCGACGAGAATGACGTCACTGGACTAGATGAAAGGCCGTCGCCATTTAACATTTAGTTACATGGCACGCGTGTAGGGAGTGTCTTTCTCTCAAGAGGGATGTTCCTTCTCCGGACGGGTGGACAGAATATCCTGGTTTACCATTCTGTCATTAAAATTGTTTATCTCTGGAGGTATTGTACCCATCTAGGAGATCGTATCCCTTGTCTCAATGAATATTTTTTCCCCATGATGCTCTGCCCCTATGTTGAAACTAAAAAGGATTCATTCATAACGAGCAGTGTGTATTCTGTTATACACAATTGGTTTGTACGCGTATGGGACAATGAGCTTTGGCGTACCTAGGTTTTGTTTTGGGGGAGGGTGGATCGTGCGAGGAGGGATCAGGGGAGGGGAGGGGGAAATTTGGCCACCCCCCCATGACTCCACCTCATTTCCCTTTCCTTTGGATCCACCCTTTGGGCTCAGTTTTAAAAAGACGAAAAGCATAAAGACGAACCATGTTGGCGCCAAAGCCTGCCCGAGGTACCGTAGAAGCTCCTCCTCTATTGTACCCGTCTGCTTTGCCTGATCACTGTACCTCCTTTTCCTTGGTACTTTGTCCTTGGTGGGAACCAGCTGTATCTTTGCATTTGTTTATAGCGTTAAAGACTGTGGTATTTTTATTAAGTGTTTTCCAAAATCTAAATTACTAACAGTAGCTTCGTAAAATCTCTTAAGGAATTATTTGAGTTCTTTAAATTTACCGTACAAAGATCGATAGGCGACTACATGCACACAATTACGTGCCTTGAGTAGTGACCCTGAACACATGTGTAGGTTGCTATAATGAATAATTATCACCCTGGAGTATGAACCAGTCGTACAATTTGCATAAAATTCGTTGGTGATTCTCATAATGTTGTGTACATATCTGAAAACAAATTCTTCAGTTAATTGGATGGTCTGTCATCCGCAAGCTGGGGACAAGGCATCAAGCGTCCCTACGCCAATACACTTAGGCGATACGTGTCAATTGCGTGTCGAGAACAAAATCAGAGCGACATTCTTGTAGTACCGAGTCTAAACATTATACGGGCACTGGGAACTATGCTCCGCCCAGCCTGTCTACGTCAACAAGTCACGCCTCATCCACAACCTTACTCTCTGACGAGAATTCAAAAGCAGGATTGCCACACGAGAAATTTCTCCTACTTGAAGTGCTTTCGCTCCAGAACTCGGCTGTCACATGCCTGTTCGTCTTGTAACTTGGCATGTATGTAAAGACACAGTTATCAGTTTCAAATAATTACAATTCAATGTGACTCCGGGTTTTCTAAGTTACTTCTGTCACGCAATGAACTGTAAATTCTATCAAACGAGTCATTACGTGTTGGATACCCAAGGGATCTGTGCTAGGCCCTTTATTCTTGCTTTGTCTTATTCATCATTTGTCTGTCCTATATTTCATCGTTGTCGTCTGTCTATACGTTGGGGTACAACAGCCTTCCTGCTTAATCTTAAACTTAAATGTTGTCATGTAATTTATCAAATGTATAATCCTGTTTTACGTAAAGTTATTCAGTCAATTTAATGGCCAGATATATTCAGTACTTAAGTAATGCGAACGTGTTTGGGTTACATTGTAAAGAATAACAGCATTGAAATAAACAATGCATCATCGTCATCATCTAACTGGTCAACGGAAAATGAATACATTAATTAGGCTGTCCAGTCTCGGGGAAATGTCCGTTGCAAGAAGAACGGCATGTCCCAATTTTCAACAAAATTGGTGGTAAAACTGCTGGAAGGTGCTACGGCGTGGCACTTGTTGCAACGACACTGGAGAAAAGGCTGGGGGCGCATTCCACCCGGCTCTTTTAGGGTTAAACATTTAACCCAAGAACTCTTTCCAAGCACTTCCAGCCGCGATCCTGCCAATGTACGTGCACACACAGCGTACCACAGTCTCATCGATTTTTGAATTGGTTTCACTGTCGGTCGAAGTCTGCGGTTACAGGCAGATTAATTATGCATCTCCTTGTTCGACTTCGTCTCTGTATTGTAAAAGTGATCCATTGTAACATCGACCACAGCATTTCATTTGTGAATCCAATATTAGAGGGCATCATCCCAACAATTTCAAATTGCTGGTTAGCAGTTTATATTGAGTCTGATTCTCTGAGCGGGCTTAACTGTCCCTCAAATTGGACATTCTAGAAATGAAGCACAACTTTCCAAACCTTTTCTTACATCTGCGTAGCTCTGAATAGGGGAGGCTCTCGAATTTATTTCTCGAAGGCCCTGGGCCCAGCGCCCACTGTGTGCCAATACCGGCCCCAACTTGTGGCACATGCAGCATGCAGCACATGCAGGTTTACTGCACAGATGACAACTTTGCGGACTAGTGGCGTTGAAATACCACTAAAATTGCGTTCCTAGAGCTGTCGACAGCCGTGAAAAAATGGATTAAACGTACGAGACACAAAACAGCACTAGTCAACGGAGATGAAAAGTGTGCCACATTTTACTTCCCTTAGGAGACGAGGCCCCAGTTTTTTTTGGTCAGCGGTTCCTTGTAGCAACTTGTCACTCGCTCGCAGAATTCAATCCCAGCAGCGTTCGGATCAGGATTCCAAGGTAGAGAAACGGTCCGGAAGAGCAGTGGACAGCGGCTGGCCGTGGATGGTGTGCTTGGGCGCCCACCTGGGCCAAATGGTAATCGTAGGCTATGTATTAGTGCAAGTTTATAAACTCACATATTTTGTTTAGCAGTTGAAAGCCGCTGTCAGTTTTTATGTGCTCTACCATCCATAATCCAATAAACGTACTGAAGCACACGGTGACAAATGTAAACACGAGTGCTTTTCCTTTTGAGCATAAAGAACATTTTCACAGTCAACGAACTGGCAGTCTTAACTTTGCACAGAACCTCCAGATGAACGTTGCTCCCTGAAATGACATTAATGGAAAAGCGCCCTCGTTTTGGGGGAAAATCTTTAACAATCCTAAATACAATAATTGCACGACACATGTTCCATGTACAACTGTAAAAATGCTGAGCAAATATTTTGCTTAAGGCTTGGTACAGGGTCGCTGAACTGTTAACGGATCATTGGCATGGTTTGCTTGCAGGCTGCATGGCTGGAACGCGAGCTTGGCTTCCTATGACTTCCTCCTCTAGCCTCTTCATATAAGATCCGGCCAGCTTAAGTTTAAGTGTCCATTCTCGCTTGGACAGACGCAGAGAAGATGTCCCCCACACCCGTCCCGACTGACAATATCTTCAACGCCCTGTGATTACTAGCAGTGACTCAAAACACCGACTGGACAAAGACAAGCAAATTTGGCTGGAAAAAAAGAAACTACGTACAACGGTTGAGATACTGGTGTCAAACTTTTTCAACATAGGCTATGAGTAGATACCAAAACCAACTGTAGGATCCACGTTGTGTAACAGATGCAAGTCAGCCACAGATTTAAGCGGAATACATGTAGTATATTCTACACTTAATGCGATAAACTAATGGTATATATAATAATATTATAACATGACGCTCAAAAATGCAACAGTCTGCTACATCTCCACAAAAGAACAAAATCTTTCGTGCTTTGAGAATCAGCAATGTTGAAGCTGATTTACACCTTACTCTAGGTTTACACAGACCAGCCACAAGATTGCAACGGTCAGGGGGTCTACCGTGATGTGCCTCCATGCAGCGCACATATCTTTACAGTTGGAGCATGATTTCCCCCCTCAAACCGTGCCTTGCAAATCAGCTATACAAAACGGGTCACTTGGGATCAAGGTCAGTTGACTAAATTTTCTCCGATAAAGGTCACCCCAACTCTGGAATCAATGCATTGAGCAGTTCTGGGCAGTGCATGTTGGCCATCGCCATAACAGCTGCTTTAGATAAACTTTGCCACTGGCCCCATTGTTAATTACACGAGGGAATATCGCTGTACAGTACTTGCACAGTACAGGTGTACATGTATATGTGGTTTAGTGTACAGTCATCAAAACCGCTGTGTAGGCCTACCTCCAGTCTCATTCTTGGACAACTGTGTCAGGCAGACACTGATCGGCTCCAACATCTTACACCAGATCGTTGTGCAGTTTCTGATGATAGAAAGCTTGTTGATTTGTGAAAGGTGAAAGGTTGGTTCTCGTTTGGCCGTCATATACTGAACCCGGGATATTCATCATGTCCGTTTAATTGTTCGGTTGCTCTCTTTCAGGTATTTCCTGCCACGTGAGGAAAGCAAAATGGCCGATGACCTCCAACGTGTGTTTCTCTGGGGTCTATCTCGAAGCATGTCGACGGCCCTGCTGAAGTGTCTAAGCTACGCCGACGGAATTCAAATTGTGAACCAGCCCTATGCATCTGCCTTCTACGATGGACCCGAAGCGGTACGGCCAGAGCCCAATCCTAATGACAAACTTTTGACCCAAATTGTAGTAGAATGTGACAAAATTGCAAGAGAGAGTGAAACGGCAGAGGTGGAGGGAATAGCGTCGTCTCTCATGACAATGGAGTGGATCAGGGACAATCTCTTACAAGCCTCTTATCCCGACAGGAAGCTTCTGCTTTGTCGAGATCAAGCTCATTACCTGAATGGCCGATATGACATGCTGCCTCACGGTTTCAAGTATAGCTTTCTCATTCGGCATCCCTACAAAGTATTCCGTTCTTTGAGGAAGCTTCTCACCGATACTTGGGGTGATTTTCCCGATATGCGCTCTTTGCCTTCGCTGGCGTTTCCTCCGGGAGGCGGCTTTAAAGAGCTCTTCGAGTTGGTACAGTACGTCAAGGAGAACTTCGACCCTCGTCCCACCATCATTGACGCCGACGATCTGCTGCAGGATCCAGCGGGGATCCTGTCCATTTACTGTGCCAGGATGGGTATCCCGTACACCAGCAAGCTGTTATCTTGGAAGGCGGGTCATGAAATCACCAGCACATGGCTAATGAGTAAAGGCGTCTCGGTGGCCAACAAATGCCAAGGCTTTTACAGGCGTGCCTTCGAGAGCGAGCGGTTTGGGAAGCCTACCCCTATGCCAGACCCAGCAAGTCTCCCGGAAGATGTGCGGGCATGTGCTGAAATGAGCATGGAGTATTATGAAAGCCTGCATCGCGAGAGAGTCATAGCATCCGTATAGAGAGAAGGTCGACCCATGATATGGAATCCCGGCGGCCCGATTGATGCCTCACAATTTCGAGAAGCAATGTAACAGTTGACCACACCGATTTCTGTAACTTTGTTGATACCAAATAGCAAGAAATGTCAATTGTGCCAACAGGGACGACTACGTGTGGTAATTTGTAGTTGTCAGCTCTCAAAGGATAACTACGACATAAAAAGGAGTAGTTGTTGATATTCTTTGCCTTATGCGTCTGAACAAAAAAAAATTCTTTAAGTACCAAACTTTCATGTTTGTTCTCGTCCATTATCAGGGGCTAATGGCATTTGGGATCATTCTGAATAAGTGGATTATCGACAAGAGAGTTTTATTTACTGATATCCATCCTGGGTGTTAAACTGCAAATAACTCCAAGATGTTGTAGAGTTTGGAAAAGTCAATGTTTACAAATATTGAAAAAGAAATCAGAGAGATTGGCTCTTTATTTTGTGCGAACCAATTTTGAAAGGAAAAGTCCACGATTCAGCATATAAATATGTACCTGGAAAGAAGCGACACGTTTACCATGAGTTAAGCAAGGAACTTTAAATCTGCAAGATGAGAAACAACGAAGGGAGCGAGGCAGTTACTTCTCTGTTATCTTGGTACAATCATCTTTTTATTTCGGAAAAAAAGGTTCAAGCGACATCAGGAGCTTTGCGGATAGCAAATGCTGTGTGTTGATCAGCATTATCTTGGAAGTTTTTACGAAGTGATGAAACTTGGGAAATGGATAATTTTTTGTTAGGGAGCTTTTCGGTCCATTCATAACAACTGACTCAAAAAAATCACAAATATTTGAGGGAAAACGCGGTTTTCTTTCTTATCAATAGTAAACAAACATTTGACAAAAAGCTCGGTCTCCGTGTTTTATACAAGATTAGTGATCAAAAGTCGCCTTGTTGGCATAAACATAAATTTTAAAAAGCAATCGATAACCTTTTGAACCAGATCGTTTTAACAGGCAGGTAGAAAACTGAAAATAATAGCACTATCACTTGATCCAAATTTGTTACATGCCAACTTATCCGTCCCGAGCTGAAGTGCACCCCCCAATCGGCGAAAGAAAGACCAATGGTTACAAGCGGGTTCTTGCACGCGTTCTGTGCATACGCAAAGACCACACAAACCGGAATAAATTAGTTACGCGTGCTCAGCGTCAAACGCGCATATTCTTGCTCGCTTCATTGCGCGCCTATGCCGTAAGTACCAAAAAGACTGCGCCCTCTTTTGTTCCGCTCAGAGCGGATACGGTACTGTAAATTGCCAAAAGCACGCGCATATCAGGCTTAAAAACGCCCGTGCAATGCTACCGGTACCGTAGTTATGGCGTCTCCCCGAATTAGTCTATATAAATGAATGTAGCGACAGCGATTCAACAGGTTTGTCTATAATTAGCAGGGTTTTACGCAGTGCACGTGACAGGAGCCATTGCATTGTTGAACTTTGTACCGAAATGCCGCACTCGTATACCAGTGTTCATACTCAACCTGCACAACATTCTAGGCCCATCCTACTCTTCCACACTAAATCATGTGAAACTGAATGGCAGGGTTGGACCTTTCTAGGCGAGATCGTTGTGTATTTGACCAACAAACTGGAGCGGTGTCCCACATATGAGGGTAGGCCTCGTGTATCTGTAATCTGAAGTAAGTTGGACGTTGATTGTAGTCGTCACCCCGGCCACTGCAACACAACGTGCGTGTTTTCAGGTACCGTATTCTGTGCAAATTATACCGCGCAGCAGCAATGACAGATGAACTTCAACGAGTGTTTCTATGGGGCGTTTCTCGCAGCATGTCAACGGCGGTGCTGAAGTGTCTGAGCTACGTCGATGGGATTCAAATTGTGAACCAACCCTACGCCACTGCCTTCTACCATGGATCCCATGCGACGCGACCAGAGCCTGATCCAAATGACAAACTTTTGAACAAAGTTCTTGCACTACGTGAGAAAATAGCTGAAAAGGGCGAAAAGGCAGAAGGGGAAGGAATTGCTCCGTCTTTCTTGTCACTTCAGGGGATCCGAGATGAGATCTTACAAGCCCATTATCCTGACAAGAAAGTCCTACTTTGTCGAGATCAGGCACACTACCTCAACGGCCAGTATGACTTGCTGCCTTGCGGATTCAAGTACAGCTTCCTCATTCGCCACCCTTACAAGGTGTTTCGCTCTTGGAAGAAGCACCTCACTGCTGTAGTGGGCGATTCTCCCGACATGCGTGCCTTGCCTTCACTGATCTTTCCTCCAGGAAGGGGCTTCAAAGAGCTCTTCGAGTTGGTGCAATACGTCAAGGAGAACATCGACCCTCATCCGGCCATCCTGGACGCCGACGATCTTCTGGAGGATCCGGCAGGGCTCTTGTCCACTTACTGCGCTAGGATGGGAATCCCGTACGCCAGCAAGCTCCTGTTTTGGGACCCTGGTGATGAAATCACCAACACGTGGATCATGAGTAAGTCTGTGTCAGTGTCGAACGGTTCTTTTGGCTTCTACAAGCATGCTTTTGAGAGCGAAAAATTCGACAAACCAACACCTGTCCCAGATCCAGCCAGTCTCCCGGCAGATGTGCGGGCCTGCGCTGAGATGAGCATGATGTATTACGAGAATTTGCACCGTGAGAGAATCGTAGCATCCGTATAGAGCGAAGTTTGACCGGTGAAGGAATGCCGGTGGAGTGACAGTCCGGAAAAAAGAAATTTGCAAAGCCGTGTAACCCTCGACTTTGCCTGTGTTTCTGATTTTGTATATATAAAAAAGTAAGATTTGGTAATTAGAAACATAGACAACGACTTGTAGCAAGTCCGCTAATCTTCACAAAAGAATATAATTACTTTTCATGCTTTAAGAAACAGCAACGCCGGTCTATTATGCGTACAATGCAGATCGGCCAGACAAATACAGGTCGCTGAAGTTTTAGGACAGTTGACTTAGAAGAACAATGTAATCGGATTTTCATGTTACCATGACAGTCCAACTCCGCTGTAATACTTAAAGAGAGAGATGACAGCCTTTTGCATTTTACTCTAATGACGATTTCCACGCCTTTTAACCAAGGCAGAAGTGGAGTATTCTTCACAGCTTTGTGTATTATGTATCACACTCTTTTTTGTACTTGAAGTAAGTTTCAATTAATACTTGGTTTTCAAATTACCAGTTCTTGAAAGCATTGTTGGTGGGAGATTTTGAAGGATTGACCTTTGTCATGTTCTTATGCTCTTTTGACAAGGAGTGCCTCGTGTGGCATTAACATAGCGCCCTCGTACACACGTTTATGAAAGCATTTCCTTATAACTGAAAAAACTAACACTTTCTTTTCCTTTCCAAAGGAAAAAGTATTTACATATTGTTTACATTGTTATAAAATAAAGTATAAGCTTGCAAACAAGTTGAACGGAATATTCACTACATTTTTGATTTAATTTTCTCAGAAGGGGGGTCACCCAATCCGAAATTAATGAACTCAGCAGTTCAAGGTAGTGCATGCTGCCCAGGGTAACGGCAGCCTCCAACGTGCGCATGCATTTGCAGTGCGGGTGCAACTCAGTTTTCTAGCTCCGTTCTTTGTTCTTTCACTTCTTCTTTCCTACTTTTTACAAGATTATTTGTCAGCTTAAACGTCACTGTGATACACTCCTCGTGCTTTTCTGTCAATTTGTTGCTTTTTGGAACCTTGGAAACCTCATTTGGCCCCCCTTGCAGTTCCTGTGTGTCGGCTGGTTCAAATCCAACATGGCGACCTCACCACGCACGCGCAGTCACCGACCAGCTGACTGTAATCTTTAGTTTCGTTATGTTTTTATGGCATCGAGGCTGTGATGTTTGTACATCCCGGCAGACCTTGGACTTTTATATGTGTACCTCCCCGCCTTTTGTTACACAACCACTTCATCCCTCACATCTGGCCTTTCCTTGCGTAGCATCGTTTTCAGCATAGTTAGCTGTTGGTGTTGGTCGCTACCCACTTCATAATGCATGGCAAGATTATTTTGATCAGTTTCTAGGCCTAATAATCTCAACCATGGCACTGCCATTCCCCATGACCCTCAACTTGGTTGTACTGATTTTATCATTTGTGCTTATTATCAAGAACAACCCAACAGTAGTATTAATGATCACACAACCTTCTTCAGACTGAACCAATCGGAACTTGAATGAATCGCGAAGGCCTACCATATACAGGGATGAGGAATATGTAGAGGAAAGTCCACCCAGCATCATAGTGTTCTGGTAGAGCAAGATGGGCTTAAACTTTGTGGACACTACTGTAACCACCTCAACCTTAAACCAACAACCATCTAAACCTGGATCAATGATGGTCTTTAGCTCCATAAAATAACTATCAATGAAATCAAAGTTCAACTCACAGACAAACTCACCGCTGACAGGCTGGGGTTATAGAGGGTAACCCAGGGCAACGACCTGTTCAGTATCCCTGCCCTGTTTGCCAAAAATCAGCAAGATGGGGCCAACATTGTCGAAAGTCTACCACGCTTATCCTAACAGTAGTATTTCATGGATGTGTTGTCATTGTGACATGCCCAACATTAGCCGATCGTTTTTCCATATTCTTTCAAGCACATCATTTTCAAACTCGCTTAGCAATCTTGATGATTCTTTTTCTAATTCAATTGATTAAAGTGTTGCTCCTTCTTCACCAATCAATACATGTACGTCATCCCGGATTCCACACTCATCGAAGCTTAAAAACCCCGCATACTGGTATTCACAAGAGACCCTACAAACTAACTAAGGGTATTACTTGTTAACTTCGACGGATTATGCAACAAACCTCCCCAATTTTAGACTCTGATTAACTCCCACAAACCTGATTACCAACATGGGAACAGAGTCATACCTTAATCGTTCTATCTTCACCGCTGACATTTCTCTCCCCTCCCCCAGGCTTTATAATATACCGAGAAGATGCAGCCCAGGGAAGAAAATGCGTTTTTTTGTTATGATCAAAGATAATATTATAGCAACTGAATGTAAAATTGTTGTGCACCCGCATGGGCATGGTTGTCGACGGTCGTGTTAAAATGTCTGAGCTACGTCGACGGGATTCAAATTGTGAATAGCCCCACTCTTCCGCCTTCTACCATGGGCCTGACGCAGTAAGTCCAAAGCCTGATCCCAATGACAAACTGTTAAGCAAAGTATTGGAGTCAATGAGAGACTCGCCAAAGAGGGAGAAAAGGCAGAAGGGGGGGGGCTGGTCTGTCTTTCATGTCACTTCAGAGGATCCGGGACGATCTCTTACAAGCCCATTATCCCAACAAGAAAGTCTTACCTTATCGAGATCAGGCTCCGCATGACAACGGCCGATATGACATACTGCCTCGCGGATTCAAACACAGCTTCCTCATTCGCCATCCTTACATGATGTTTCGCTCCTGGAAAAAGCACCTTGCCATTTTCTTCGGCGATTTTCTCGACATGCGCGAATTGCTTTCAATGGCCTTTGGTCGGGGAAAGGGCTTCAGAGAGTTGTTTGGTGGGTTTGATGCATCTATGTCGGCAAAGTGACAGATTAAAGATTTTGATCGCAAAGGTTGTTAGTCTCTCAAAGCCGGTAACACGTTTATTCTAAGATTCCCGAGACACTGACCACCAATCGATGACATTTCTAAGCTGATTAAACTTTGCCTTAGGCTCAGTTAGGACAAGTAATGACACGTTCTATAGTGTAAAGTTAATGGCCTGGCACTGAATAGACTCCAAAGTACAGAGTCTATCCAGTGCGGAGCCATAGTCTAGACTAGGGCTGGGCCTAATTTGAGAAAATCACCTTGTTTAACATTTGGACCTAGATCGTCCAACCAGGTCCAAATGTTAAACAAGGCGATTCGTAGAGACCAAGTTACTCGGACTAGGCTAGGCCAAACTTAAAAGCGTAGGCCTCATGGGTGAAAATAAGAAAAGCATAGAACACCCTCAACAGGAACACTGTAAACTGTAAGCCACTAAAAGGTAAACCGCTCTCAACGCATACATCAGACTCCACTGACGTAAGATTGATCACTCATTGGAACTTTGTGGTCGATTTAGGCGAAGTGTGCTCACATGTTGGGGCTCTACTGTTTGCTGTGGAAGCTGGAGTGCGATTCCTCAAAACCAAGACCTGTACATCTGCTTCCTATGTGTGGATTATACCAACACTTGTCTCTGGCACACCTTATCAGGAACTGAGACACACTGACTTCAAGTTAAGTTAAATGAAGAAGAAAAGGAAAAGCATAGATAGACGGACTTGCTGCGTCTACATTCAACCAAAAAGACACTGAATGCCAACCAACAGAAGCTTCAAGAACCACTTATCACCAGCACAGATCGAGAATTTCTCTGAAAGTTTACACTCACCAGACACATATTCTGCAATCATGTCACTTATTTCACCCTACAGCAAGGACTACCGTCCAAAGATGGAAACCCTCGACCTGCCTCAGCCACTGGCTCAACTTTACCGTAAAGAACTCTCCTCACTAAGCTAACAAGATTTACTGATTAAATTTAAAGAGATTTTTGAGACGATCAATGTATGTGTGGAACAGTCTAAAGGGGTAGAGAGGTCTACTCGAGGCCAAACCAACACTCCATTCTGGTTTCAGATGACAGCTGGCAGAATAACGGCCAGCATGTTCCACTAGGCTTGTCGTTCTGACCAAGCTTTACCCTCTATACGTTTCATCAAGGATATGTGCATTGGATCCAATTTCTCATCAAAGGCTACTGCGTGGGGTTGTACACATGAGAAAAAAAGCACTGGACCAGTATAAACAGGTAATTTGGGGCAAAGGACGCACGTGCATTTTGTGTCCTGTATGAGCTTCACATTTCAGAATTAATACATGTACAAGTACACAATAGATTTTTTGACTGCCACATAGTAAAGATGTGGCAAATTGAATTTTATTTTTATTTATACACTATTTCCACCTTGTCCATTTGTGAGTGCAGTTGGGTGGGCGTGTATGTGCCATTATGATGAAAACCATCAAGGTAGTGCAATATCGGCAAAACTATGTGCTCCCATCTATATACTACAATTTCTTGTGAACTCGTAGAACTGTTTTTAAAAAGACAGTTTTTATTACCTTGATTTGTTTGGATGAAAACTGTTTGTTTTGTTCTTGAAGGAAATGACTGAACTTCATAGTGACTTCAACTTCAAGGACTACTCGGGCCTGCTAATTAATCCAGACTACCCGTACCTCGGGGTGAGTCTAGATGCCATCTCATCCTGTTTTTGTCACGACACAAAGTGCCCCTTTTATGTTAGAAGCTACAACCTATCTGAAGCAGTAGACAGTGGAATTAAAGTGTGCCTGGCCAAAAGCTGTGATGCTTCTCTCAAACTGAATCTGAGTAGTCCGTACTGGTACCAAGTGCAGTTGCAGCTACTGGTTTGTGCCGGTAGCGAGCAAATATGTGTGCGTGCATCAATACGGGCGAGTCACAATAGTGCGCCACCAAAGAGTTTGCAACGTGTTAGCCAATCATCACGCGCGAAATTTGTCGACCCTTTCCAAACGCGCATTGGGTCGACAAATTTTGCGCATTGTGATTGGCCAACGCGTTGCAAACTCTTGGTGGAGCACTATTGTGAAACGGCCGTATTGTCCCTTTGTTTACCGCAGCCTTAGCGAATATCTCGCTATCCCTTTTTCTCGTCTAAGTCTTGAAATCTCACGCGGTTGTTTCCCTTCGTGAATAACTGTGCGTGCTGACAAATCTGACCTTTTCTGTCTCTCTCAGACTGTTTCGCTCAACCGTAAAAATCTGCCTATGTTGTTTGCATGACCCAGTCGGGCCACTCACTAAGCAAACGCTTTATAATGCATGTGTCATGGGCCGGGGGTCAACGTGGGTCACGTGCCGGCGCAAAGCCTCTTTTGAAAAATTACCACCACCTTCTCACTTTCAAGGGAAACAAGTTTTTAAATCTAATTTTGCAAAATACAGGAATATACACGCAAACAAGTTGAACCTGATATCCACTGAATGCCTAATTTGTTTTTATTTTTTCCAGTTAAAGGTCCCCCACTCTGGAATCAATGAAGTCAGCAGTTTCCGACAGTGCATGGTGCCCAGGGTCATGGCAGCTGCCTTTTCTGATCAACTTTGCCACTTGCGTATGCATCATTGGACATGTACTTACTAGATTGAATAGTGTGACTGGATTGGATATTAATGTATATTGTAGAGTACATGTACTTGTAAAGTACAGCCTCATCAAAACTGCTGAGTGCCTCGTGTCCCATTCTGGGACATTTCTAATGGAAAAACTCTTTGTGTGAAAGGTTGGTTCCTTGCTCAGCCGTCACAATTTTATGTAGAACTAGGGATATTGGTTATATCTCTTACAACGTTAATATTAGACACAACCACCTTATTGTTTTGGGTGCTCTCGTGAAGGTATTCTCCGCCACCTCAGGACAACAAGATGGCCGATGATATCCAACGAGTGTTTCTTTGGGGCATCTCTCGAAGCATGTCGACGGCCCTGCTGAAGTGTCTGAGCTACGTCGACGGGGTTCAAATTGTGAATCAGCCCTACGCATCTGCCTTCTGTGGTGGGCCCCAAGCCGTACGGCCAGAGCCCAATCCAGATGACAAACTTCTAACTAAAATTGTTGCAGAATGGGACAAAATCAAACAAGAGAGCGAAACAGCAGAGGTGGAGGGGATAATGCCGTCTGTCATGACAATGGAGTGGATCAGGGACAATCTCTTACAAGCCTCTTATCCCGACAAGAAGGTTCTGCTTTGCCGAGATCAAGCTCATTACCTGAAGGGCCGATACGACATGCTGCCTCAAGGCTTCAAGTATAGCTTTCTTATTCGGCATCCCTACAAAGTATTCCGTTCTTGGAAGAAGCTTCTCACCGATATTTGGGGTGATTTTCCCGATATGCGCTCCTTGCCGTCGCTGGCGTTTCCTCCGGGAGTTGGCTTTAAAGAGCTCTTCGAATTGGTACAGTACGTCAAGGAGAACTTTGACCCTCATCCCACCATCCTTGACGCCGACGATCTGCTGCAAGATCCGGCGGGGATCCTGTCCACTTACTGCGCCAAGATGGGCATACCGTACTCCAGCAAGCTGTTATCTTGGAAGTCAGGTCATGAAATCACCAGCACATGGCTTATGAGTAAAGTCGTCTCGGTGGCCAACAAAGGCCAAGGCTTTTACAAGCGTGCCTTCGAGAGCGATCGGTTCGAGAAGCCTACCCCTGTACCGGACCTAGCTAGTCTCCCGGCAGATGCGCGGGCCTGCGCTGAAATGAGCATGGAGTACTACGAAAGTCTGCATCACGAGAGAATCATAGCATCGGTGTAGAGCGTGGGTCGACCCGTCATAGGCCTATGTAATTGCGGCCCGAGTGATGCCTCACAATTTCGAAAAGCAATGTAACACTTTGGCCGTGTTTGTTTCACACGGATCTGGATCACCAAAGCCCGCCTAATGGATA